CATACACTGCTCATATCAGAAGTGCTGGAGGAGGTAAACAATACCAGGGCCAGCTACCCATAAAGATCGGTATCCAGACTCCCAGAGGGGAGATGAAAGGTACTTTATAGGGAATGTATAGTACTTTTCCTTTTTAAACTTCTACAAAAAATAAGTTTTATGTAAATAATCTTAAAGTCTATCTCCGGTGGAAAAAAAACTCTCCCTCCATGTAGTGGGGCTGCAAGGGTTAATTGGTTGTGTAGGTCCGGTGTACCTGTTAAAGTACTTTTACTTGCCTGATGCCCGCTCCCACTTCTCTCCTCTACACGCCAGCTTGTGAGCAGTCCCTTAGTGTCCTCATGTATGAGTTCTATGGGCTCTGCATTGTACATGGTGACATCAGCAGACCTCCGACCATCACAGCGTAGGGGAAAGAGGCGGCAAGTGCCGGTCTTGGAGCCAGTGGAAGCGGGGATCACGTAAGCAGCCTGTTCTTCTCTATGGGAGTACGCGGCCGTACGCTCACCCGAGCTGCACATCCGTGCGGGGGTCCGTACTTGTATGCGGACAGGATGGATCCTGTCTGCGTCTGAGCAGGGACCCCCGCACCCGCACGGATGTGCAGTTCAGGTGAATCCACCTAACCCTTAAGGCCGTGACACACTGCACGCGAAGCCGTGCAGAGCGAAGCAAAGCAATCCGGCATGGAGCTTTGTGTGCAGTGTGTGAGCTGAGTGCAGTCAGATGATTGACAGCAACTTCAGCTGAAGTTGAAATTGTTCATCTCGGCACGCTCAGTTCCACGAGCTCTCGCCAGCTGAGGTGCCCAGGAGAAAATGACATGATACACTGCTCGCAAAGGCAGCGCGCCACCGCTCTGCGCTGCATTGCGTGCGGTGTGTCACGGCCTTAACCCTGCCCCGGCCTTAACTCCGCCCCTAAACACACCCTCTTAAATAATCTTATGATAGTTGCCGCTTGTAAACGGCAGATTAGGGATTCCTGCTGCAGGAAAATGCAAGTTCCTGACACAGGAATCTAATCACACCTGAAATATACTGTAGGTGTGAATGGGGCCTAATATACACATACACTAAAGGTGCCCATACACCTGCCGATTATCGTACAATAGTTGTGGGTGATCCCACGATCGTACGATAATCGGCAGGTGTATGGGCAGCATGCGACCGCTTCTACTGTAAGGTCGTACGGCTTTCGTCTTCCAAGCACGCTGGAAAACCTGCCGAAAATCGTACGATTTTTGGCGGGTTGGTCGCGTGGTCGGAAGA